CGTGTGGGATTCCCTTCCTCTCACACTTGGTCCATAGACGTGTTATGTTTTGAACATACACATATGAGTGACCATATATATCCTACATGAAAATTTTCCAAACTTTAGATGTGGGACATTTTACATGTCATTCACTTAATAACCAAAAGGCTTTTCTCATTCACTTTTCTACCAATTTTGCATAACACAAAAGCCCAATACAAGGTCCATTTGTTTATTCCAAAATTGGTTCCAACATTCGTCCCTTTGTGAGCCCTATGTTCAAATCTGGTTGTACTCTCTTCTACTCCTCTTTCTATGTTATTGGTCTTTTAAAGGGTCCTAAGGATTGGGTTCAGCTTCGGTATTGGTTGATTGAAGTGGTGAAGAGATGGGGTTCGATCTATCTTTGAATGGAGGACGCGGTTGCTTCGGCCCTGGTCGAAGATGCATTTAGGTCCAGCTTCGTCGGCCTCAGTTACTTTCTTCTGGTTGTTGTGGCCTTGATCTACTATTTGCTCCATGGGGTTTGTTATGTTTCTCCCTGCTCTGCCTTCGTTGTTGATTTGTTCCGTGAGTTTAGAGTTTGTATCAATGCCTTTCTTTGGGCTGTGTTGTGTCTTTATTAGCCTGTCTGTTTGATCTCCTTTTGCCTCGGACTGCTATCGTTCTTGTCGGGTTCGATCATGTGACGTTATGGTCTCCATTTATGGTATGTTCCGGTTAGTGTGGGCTTGCTTCTTGTCTCTACATCTAAGATCTGGTCGTGATCTTCTCTTGTTCAAAGGATACTAACTAGGCGTTGACAAGTCGAGGTATCCTCGGTATCGCCGTTTCCGTAAGTTTTGTGTGAAAATTCAGTCTTTTCTGGATTCCTCCATCTTGCCGGTATAGTTTCTTAGGAACATTTATTTGGTTAGGTATACTTATTCATCATAGGAGGAGCCGCATATCGTCAGTTGGGTCTCCTTGGCCTTTCGATTTGCTTTCGCGGTTATGCTGCAAGGTTTATGTTATCTTCGGGTGAGGTTTGTTTAGATTTAACTTGTTCATCGGTGGTGGTTGATATTGTTATTTCTCGAAGTTGTGTCCTCTTTTCTTTTGGACTTTAGTTGTATTTTGGCTTTATCCTCGTCTCCCTTTCGCAGGGCTTTGACTCTGCGAATTTTGTAGTTCGTCGGTTCAGTATTCCAAAAACGTATTCTACCTTTGTACTATGCCAGTGTTTGTAATAAAATCCAGATGACAAAAAAAAAGATGATTGAATTTTTTTACCAATTGTCAAGTAGACTATTCACCGAAGTTCAAATAAAAATGGTCAGATAATTTATGTTTGTGGAGAAGTGATCTCTAGCTTAGATCTAAAATGTTTTTGATACAGAAAATAGGCTTATGAAAAAGTATAGAAAATGATTATTTAAGTACAATTTGGCCATTAGGAGCCAGCTAAGACTATCTTGGGTAAGAAGAAGGGTTGGGACAACAAAAGCCCTCCGAGTCACACGGAGACTCCTGACTTGTTGCTCAATCATACTATTTCACGCTTCACTGTTTACACTTGACAGTTGACACACCAATGCTATTATTATTGTTTGATTGGAAGCATATGGAAAGGCGTTGGGGTGCGAATCGTTGTTTTTCAATGATCAGTCCGATTAAAGGTTGAAACGGTTGGTTGAAAACTTGAAATGAACGGTTAAAACATTTAAATATCTTGGAAACTACTAATCTCTCTTGTTTTAAAAACTTCGCCATGTACGTATGGGTACCTAACTTTCTATTAAAAGATTTAAGAGATGATTGTTATGACCAAACCCATAGAGGTATGCTTTTATATATAGTTAAAAAAATGGTTTATACATATTTGAAGTTACTAGAATTTTTTCTATGCACATGAAACTTAAACATATGCATACTGCAATTCCATTGCTCGAAAGACATACTTCTATATACAATAACCCCTACTCTGATAAAAAAATAGGAAAAAAAAACAATAATTATTTCTTAGTTGATGATAGTGATACCCACTAACTTACAAAATATTTTACTTTTGAGAGGCAGGGAAAAAACGTGTAGATAAGAGTGAGTTTTCCTTCTTGACGAATGACAAAGAGAGACATAAAGAACGACGCACAAAGAGAGACATAAAGAACGGCACAAAATATTCAAAAAAATTAAAAAAAATTGTCACTTTTCAAAAATATCAATTTTTTAAAAATTTTTGCAAAAATACTATTATTCAAAAAAAATTCATTATATCATTTATATTTGGGTTAACTATGTTGTATTAGAATTTAGTTTTGACGGTTTAAAAAATTTTAAGGGCAAAACATTTTTTAGGATTTATAATTTTAAGATTTAGGATTTAAAAATCCATAATTAGTGGCATTTTTACAAATGGATATCCCTAAGTAGCATTTTTGTAATTGTATACACCAAATGTGGCATTTTTGCAATTCCCCAATATTCAATTTGTTTTCTGTTCGAATGTTTTTCACGCGTTAGCATTTCTAAGACATAAATGTATATGCATAAATTCATGTTTGCTTAGAGTCAATATCGTTAAGGGCGAACGGTACGGACCAGTACGATACTCTCTCTTAGACACACTCCCCGAGGAGTCGCCGTCAACAATAACAATGCATCACCTCCGGTGCTCTGTCGTGCAGATCCCCTCCTCCTTCTTTAGCACCGCTCCTCCTCCTCTTGGAGTTCCCGACATGCTGAAGATTGGACCTTAACCGCCTTTCTCTGCCAGAATTATTGCTGTCAACGAGACTCGTCGCTCGGCCGTCTCGAGGTGGTCCAAGGTTCCTAGTGCCAAAACGATGGTGGCGTTTTCCTCCCTCCCGACGTCTGCGGTGAAGGACCTGGCGACGCTGAACTCTGGTCGCCCACCGGAACCCCCTGAACCACCTAACCCACCGGATACACTCCTCCCATCTCCACCATCGCTCGCCATTCTGGCCGCCACCAGAACCATCGCCACCACCTAATCAAGTGGAAGCGGCGGTGGCGATGGTTCTGATGGTGCGTGACGGTCGGTAAAAGCAACGATAGATCCGGTGGAAGTAGCGCCAGATCCGTGGAGGCAGCTTCAGATCTGATGGTGTGTGGCGGCCAGTGAAAGATGCGGCAGATCTGATGGTGTATGGCGGTCAGTGGAAGATGCGACGGATATGCAGGTGTGTGGCAGTCAGTGGAGGCTGCGACGGATTAGAAAAACAGCAACGGATCGGGTAAAAGCAGCGATGGATCAAATGATGTGTGGCGGTAGAAGCAGCGACGGATTCGATGTAAACATTGATGGATTACTGAAAGCGACGAGGGATCCGGATAATAAATTATGTATCCGGATAATTGAATATATTTAAGAGCAATTTTAATTATTAGCCGGATAAATTATAAATACATCAGATAAATTTGTGTAAAAAACTGGATAGTATTATTAAATATGGATAATAAAGTATATATCCGAATAATAAAATGATTAAAATATAATTTTAATTGTTAGCCGGATACTAATTATGAATACGTACAACCTATTAAATTTCAGATTGATTTCCAAAAACGTTACATATGAGGGTTAAATTGTAATACACATTCTTTCTCTCTGTTATTTAGTTGAGTTTATACTTTTTTCACTGCTAGTTTGCTAAATATGATATTTTCTATTGTTTTCCACCTAATTGACTCTTTTATTATTGATAAACACAATCTAAAGAATAGTTGAAATCGACCAAGGTTTTAAACTTAATGCTTATGTTACTAAATGTTTTCATTGTTGGTTCTAAAAAATATGTTTTCATTGTATACTATTAATTACATAATATTTTTAATTCTTTTAATCAAACATGAAAAAAACTCAGAATTTATAAAATAGAATATTTCATTTTATTTAAAATGTTAATACTATACATTTATGTAAATGACACGGTGCATGTCCGTTTCAGGATGAATTTTTTTTTTGGTAAGAATGTAAATATTTCATTGAAAATGAAAACATTTTAGATATACAAAACAAAATTACAAACCTATATAAATGATTCTATGGCAAAAAAAATAAAAACATGGAAACATAATTCATGACGGTTTTCAGTCCGCCCACTCAACATAAACACGAATGGTAATGGAGCAGGACGAAGTGATGACGATACTTTTGTTCTTCCCAAATTTTGTTTCGGGATGAATTTCTTGTCATGATCCATCTCATTCCCAATTTTGTTCAAATAATTATCCGTTTGGAATTATTTATTTTATTTAAACGATTATGTGAACTGAATTACCTCGTTTTTTTTTTAAATTTCTTAAATGTACAAAAATATTATTTTTCTAACAATCGATTGTTAATCTAACTGAATTACTTCATATATCATTTTGTCAACTAGTCCATTTGTTTTTTGGGTAACAAAGTCTAATAATCTGATTACCTAATATTTTTTTTTTCATTTGGTTATATTTTCAAGGATTAGAAATACACAGAAAATTTAATTATTCATGTTATTAGAAAACATAGGACGTGCACATATTTTCTTTAATGTCATTTAAAATTAAAAGTCACAAACTGCGTCATAGAAGCTTGTTTAGAGAAAAATTAACATAAGGAGTATGGAAAGTCTTGTAGCCTTAACAGTCTCTATCCTAATCAGTCCCATTACGATTGTGTATAAATACGGGTTACACTAACTCATATTTTCATATCATCCAAAGACATCTAAATAATAAACCCCAAAAAAAAAAAACATGAGTCCTATGTTTTACTTCTTTCTTGCCTTAACCGCGGTTTTGGCCGCGACCGCAAGCGCTCTAACTCCCGTTCTTGACACCGATGGAGACATCATATTCCATGGCAGATACTACGTTCTCCCTGTCTTCCGCGGCCAAGGCGGTGGCGTGACTCTCACCAACCCCAATTTCAGGCCATGTCCCAGGGGCCACATCGTGCAGGAAAAATCCGAGGTCGAGAATGGCATTCCCGTAAGATTCTCAAACTGGAAGCCTAGAGTTGGGTTCGTTCCCGAAACAGAGGACCTCAACATCAAGACAGACTCCGGTCAGGTGTTATGCCGCCGTGATAACTACTGGCGGGTCGATGAGTTCGACACGGGGAATAAGAACTGGTTTCTTGTGTCTGCTCAGAAACCAACTCCAGATAATGCGTTCAGGAGTTACTTTCAGATCCAGAAAGTCGGAAATAACCTTAATGCTTACAAGATTATGTTCTGTCCTGGGGCTTGCATCGATGTCGGGATCTTTGTGGATGAAAACAGCGTTCGGCGTTTGGCTTTAACCAATGAACCTTTCTTGGTTATGTTCAAGAAAGCTAATGAGACAACAACGACTATGGTGGAGACTATGTGAGAACAAATTACTAC